GCCAACCTCAGTCCATCGGGGTTTGATCTATGGAATCTGCTCTATAGCGCATACGATCTAATGCACAGAGGAAGGCTGTGACGTTCTGAGTGGGACAGATGACCTTTTCAGTTCAGTCGTACGAGTTGTCCTGCAAGTTTGGTGGTCCTATTGTCTGGCCATTTCCCTCTTCAGTTCTCGGGTCAACTTAGCTCCCACATGGAGTCCATCCTGGTATTTTCTCTCACTGGGTGTTGTGACCCGAGAGATGATCCACATGAGCATGAGACTTATCTGCTTTGTCTTTGGCTCCTTCGTGCAAGGACACCCAGGAGATGCGTGAAGGGAACGGAAAGGAGACTGCAGCCCTAAAGCTTGCTTTGTAAGGGGAGCGAGTGGGCAATCACTGGCCGCCTCCGGGAGCCCGGGGAAGTGGAGGTCGGGGCTCTGTAAAGAGCACACATCAGACCAATTTCATTTCCTCCTGTGACTGAGGCTAAGATGGTAAAGAAAAAGGAAAAGGGATTATCTCTATGGATCTAGAAAGACTTTGGAGTTCATCCAACATGACAGTCTCATCCGTAAACTAGGAAGGTCTGGTCCTGACCGTGTGGAGTTAGGTGAGAACCCCACCTGCAAGAAAGGCTCCTCTCAGAGGGGGAGTCCCGTGTCCTGTGTTATCCCAGACCCGGCTCACTGCCCCCACCTTGGAATTCCGCGCGGAGGTGCAAATACTTGATAGGTTGCAATCAGAAATACTTTTGAAAACCAGATAATATGTCAAAGAGGGGGTAAGGGTAAGTAATCATGTCTTTAAGTGTTGTGGAGCCAGCCCAGCCGGCGTGGCTCATGGGTTGAGCGTCGACCTATGAACCAAGAGGTCACAATTCTATTCCCATTCGGGGCATATGCCTGGGTTGCTGGCTCGATCCCCAGTAGAGGGCGTGCAGGAGGCAGCCGATCGACTATTCTCTCTTGTCATTGATGTTTCTGTCTCTCTCTCCCTCTCCCTTCCTCTCTGAAATCAATAAAAACATTTTAAAAAAATAATAAATGTTATGGAGGCAGACCCACGATAAAGAAAGGTTGAATTAAATGAATATATAGCATAGAAAGACTTGGGCACCAGAAGGAACTGTCTGCCAGGTGAGAATGCTGCTGCTGACACGATGTCGTGGCACATGAAAGTCTAGCTTCTAGGATTTTAGAGCTAAAGGGCAGTGGGCAATCACTGGCCGCCTCCGGGAGCCCGGGGAAGTGGAGGTCGGGGCTCTGTAAAGAGCACACATCAGACCAATTTCATTTCCTCCTGTGACTGAGGCTAAGATGGTAAAGAAAAAGGAAAAGGGATTATCTCTATGGATCTAGAAAGACTTTGGAGTTCATCCAACATGACAGTCTCATCCGTAAACTAGGAAGGTCTGGTCCTGACCGTGTGGAGTTAGGTGAGAACCCCACCTGCAAGAAAGGCTCCTCTCAGAGGGGGAGTCCCGTGTCCTGTGTTATCCCAGACCCGGCTCACTGCCCCCACCTTGGAATTCCGCGCGGAGGTGCAAATACTTGATAGGTTGCAATCAGAAATACTTTTGAAAACCAGACAATATGTCAAAGAGGGGGTAAGGGTAAGTAATCATGTCTTTAAGTGTTGTGGAGCCAGCCCAGCCGGCGTGGCTCATGGGTTGAGCGTCGACCTATGAACCAAGAGGTCACAATTCTATTCCCATTCGGGGCATATGCCTGGGTTGCTGGCTCGATCCCCAGTAGAGGGCGTGCAGGAGGCAGCCGATCGACTATTCTCTCTTGTCATTGATGTTTCTGTCTCTCTCTCCCTCTCCCTTCCTCTCTGAAATCAATAAAAACATTTTAAAAAAATAATAAATGTTATGGAGGCAGACCCACGATAAAGAAAGGTTGAATTAAATGAATATATAGCATAGAAAGACTTGGGCACCAGAAGGAACTGTCTGCCAGGTGAGAATGCTGCTGCTGACACGATGTCGTGGCACATGAAAGTCTAGCTTCTAGGATTTTAGAGCTAAAGGGCCTTTGGTGTCAGATGGCCCATCTTCCTCATTTTGCAGGAGGCGGCCAGCCCTAGGCAGGAAGTTACAGACTCAAGGCTGCCCAGCTAGTTCACGGCAGGTCCAGGACGAGAACTCTGAGTCTTCTTCCTACTACACACTGTCCTGTTGCCTTTTTGAAAAATAACTTTCTTGAGGCATATTTTACATATCGTATAATTTACCCATTTTAAACATACATTTCAATCGTTATTTTTGGTAAATTTACCACGTTGTGCAACCATCACCATGAAAGTTTTAGAATATTGCCATCACCCCAGTATGATTCTTTTGTGCCTTTAACTTGTAATTCCTGTCACCTACCTACTCCCCCCCCTCCCCCCCCCCCCCAAAAAAGTTGTTCTGTGTTATTCTAGACCTGCTCTAGAATGGAGACCTTCCCCTTCTGTGTTATTCTAGACCTGCTCTAGAATGGGGACCTGTCTCTGTCTTTTCTAGACATTTCACATTAATGGAATCCTACACTCATCCATGTCAAGGAAGTAATTCATTTCTTTGTACCGCCAAATAGGGCTCCACTCTACTGATAGATCACGTTCTGTTTATCCGCTCACCAGCTGGGGGGCAGTTAGGTTGTTTCCACTTTGGGATGATTCTGAATCATGTTGCTGTTGGCACTCACGTGTCACTGTTTACTTTTTTACGTTCCATAGCTCTTCCTCCTTAAATTGAGGTTGTTTCTCCAGATATAGGCAGTAGAGGTGCCCAGACAGCGACCAGAGTTGCTATTCGTGTTCTAATGAACAGCCTCAGGGCATTAAAGAGTCCAGGAAAGAGAAGGCTCGTTGCTCTAATAACAGCATTTACCCTGGGATGGCTTTTGAGAAACCGTTAGCCAAATGCCCTCCATCTTCACAGAAAACAAACGAGAGGAACTGGATTGAAACCGGGTGGAAACACTCCAGACGGGCATAGGAGGCGCATTTTATGTGGCCGTGAGCGCCATCAAGCTCATTTCCAGCACCGTAAAGACAAAGCCATCCAGTTTCCTGGGAGAGAAGCGTATACGAATGGGTTTAAATCTGTCTGAGGCCAAATAATCCCTTGGGGTCCCCCAAAAGGAAGACAGTCCCTTTATGGTGCCGCTGCTTTGTGGTTAAGGAAGACATTTGGCCTTTATCGTACCCATGAGACCAGTTATTGGAGTCATTATGCCATAAAACTTGTGTCGGAAAATGTTACACAAACCACTGGGTGTGGCAGGTGGAGGCATTGCTTTCATGTCCTCAACAGAGCATGTTCCTTAGCCACCAGTCTCTCCCTGATAATCCTGTATAATAGAAGGCCAGGGACCATAAGCAGAACGACCAGAACGACAGCTCGACCAGTAGCCATGAGGTGCACTGACCACCTCTCGGTCCCCCCCCCCCCCCCTGGGTGGGGGGGG